CCTCTCCAGCATTTGTTGCTTGCCATTCTGTTAAATTTTGTTACTCTTACTGGGGTGAGATAATATCTCATAGTAGTTTTGATAGAATGTACTTTTCATTGAGTTATCCTGAAAGTATAGGCAATGATGCATAAACGAAGTAAATATTTTTAAGTTTAATTTTTTAGCTATGGGAACATTAGTTTGGTGTATTTTTTTCATTTGTAAAGAATGGTATAGCAGGTATAAAATTTTGTACATTTGAATTGAGCTCTGTGTTTATACTTCTGCATGTACTTCTTAATATTCAAAGTATAGCTATATGTTCTCATTACTTAATGTTTTTCATGGCTTTTACATGATTAGACTTGCCCCCCAAGTTACCATGTCTACACGACTACTTTATATGTAACAGGACTGAGATTTTATTTAGGCTTCTGTCATAATTATAAAGGGCTCTGGTTGTATAATCTGTAGTGTGTTGTGCTGCTAACCAGAAGGCCACATGTCACTGGTGATTCAAATCCGTCAACTGCCCTATTAAGATTTACAGTGTTGGAGACCTGATGGAGGGTCACTATTGTGTCAGAACCAACTTGCCAGCACTAAGTTGAGTTATTAGCATTATTATGTGAACCCTAGTGGCACAGTGGTCAAGTACTTGGCTAGTAACAGAAAGGTTGGTAGTTTGATGTCAGAAAGATGTGGCCTTGAGAAGCCTATAGGGCTGTTTTGCTCAGGTGGCTTAGTGATAAGGGGTTGTACTGCCAGCTCAAAAACATGTGGTTTGAATCTACCAGCTGCTCTGCTAGAGAAAGATGGACAGTGTCCTGCCCTGTGATTTATTGCCTCTGAAAACCCACTGAAGGCGCTGTGAGTCAGTCCTACTTGACAGTCATAACAACAGTTCTGTTATATAGGGCTGCTGTGAGTTGAAATCTACTCAGTGGCACAAAATAATAGTGTTCATAATTATTTTATATTAGATTGATGTTCTTGTTGTTATGTGCTGTCAAGTCACCTGTGACACAGCACGACCCTATGTACAACAGCTCTGAACCCTGCTCTATCCTGTGCCAGTCTTATTGTGACCTACCCCCATTACCCCAGTCAATGAATCAAGCCATCTCACTGAGGGTCTTCTTCTCTTGCGCTGTCCCTCTACCCTCACAAGCATG